GCCAATAACCACTTGCAAGATCTAGTGTAGAGAACCACTTAGATCCTTTGAGGGTATTAAGCATATCATCAATTCGTAGTAATGGGTAAGCATCCTTTTTAGTAATGCCATTAAGCTTTCGATAGTCTACGCAAAATCGAAGCTTTCCATTTCACCTTTAACATCAACAGTTATAGTTTTGCTAAGGTCACCACAAGCCACACTTTTACAAACAGTAGCAATATCACGCACTTGATCCGTTAGATTTGATGCCATGAGATTTACATTGTCTGTAAGATCTTTCCATATTCCACCAACATTCTTAATATTAGCTTGACCACCTAGTTTACCCTCAGTACCTACTTCTAATGATACACGAGTTACTTCTGTAGCAAAAGTTTGTAATTGATCAACCATAGTATTAATCGTATTTTTAAGATCTAAGATTTCTCCTTTTACATCGACTGTAATCTTTTTACTTAAGTCCCCTCGTGCGACAGCCTTCGATACATCAGCGATATCACGCACTAAAGTTTATACAAAGATCAAAAGTTAGAAATAGGTATACATATTAAATACAATTTATACGAAATAATAATAATATAATAATAAAATAAAATAATAATAATTAATTAATACCTTGGGCAGTTAAATTAGCGGCCATAGTATTTACGTTATCGGTTAAAAGTTTCCACGTTCCACCAACGCCTTGAACTTGAGCTTGTACACCAAGTTTACCCTCAGTGCCTACTTCATGAGCGACTCGAGTAACTTCCGAGGCAAAAGAATTTAATTGGTCAACTAAATAAATATAAAATTAATTGAATTAGCATATAAATGTAAGTAAATTTGAAAAAAGATTTAACAAAGATTTTAGTAACATGGTTCATACCCATAGTGTTAATAGTATTCTTTAATACAAGAGTTTCTCCTTTAACTTCAACAGTTATCTTTTTACTTAGATCACCATGAGCTACTGCGGTACATACTTCAGCAATATCTCGTACTTGTTCAGAATGATTACTAGCCATCATATTCAAGTGTACCATCATTTCCTTCCAATCACCCTCAATGTTTTGAGTTTCCGCTTGAACACCTAGTTTACCCTCTTCTCCAACTTCGCGAGCATTACGGATGAGTTCGACAGAGACGTGATCAATTTTATCAGCCATAATATTCATTGCGTTTTTTAATGTAAGCATTGGACCGGAAGCATAAGGACAAGTGATACGTTGTTTGAAATCACCAGTAGAAACAGCTAGAGCGACATTTGTACATTGATTTAGGCAATCTAGACAGAGTCTGTCATGCTCCAAGGCAGGAGGAGTTTCAGGATCACTCTCAGAATCAAAAGTGTCAGCTGTTTTATGCGGAAATGACATAATATGGTTACGAAGTGCATCATAATTGTTGGGAGAGATTTCGATTTCTGCTGAAGTTTTTGTTGGTACTTGAGGTACTTGAGGAGGTTCTTCGTCAGAAGTAGTTGAAACTCTGTCATTTATTATGACTATAGAATCATTTTCATTAAGTAAAGATTTATAATAAGCTACTTCTTTCTCCAAATATATTTGACGTTCCAACAATTTCCCAAAAACTTGATTAAACTGTTCTACTTCAGCATTAGGTTGACCTTGGTACCTTAAATTTTTGCAATATTCTAAGTTGCCATCGTGAATATTTTGGAGAACGTCGGTCACGTAGACGAGAACGTCAGTCATGTATTAACTGCCAGAATGCTGGTATATCAGATATGTAGTATATATAGTCGGCGCTTTTTTTTATTCTTAAAACGGAGGAAAAAGTAATAACAAGAATGGTAATTATATTAAAAAGTCAAGAAAACACAAGAGATTAGTTAATACAATTTACACACTAATGTCTTCCAATTTCTTTAATGGCAGAGATGTAAGTTGAACTTTCGCTTACCAATTAAAGAGAACTGTTATTTTGGAGGCAATGTTCTTAGTGAATTAATATAGAAAATTATGAAAAACGCATAATAAATTTGGCGCTAGAATAAATATGATTGATTTTTTATCAACACAACAAAGAAAGTAAAATCGGATTGTTTAAAACTCCACAAGATTTATAGTTTGTAAGTTAACATTCCATATTAATTTATTTAGTACTCATTTTTTTTAGAGTTGTGTTCATATGACCCGATCCGAAGCATTCATTTATTATTATCAAGGCTTTATATGTAGATACATAATTAGATGTTCATGATGTAAGTCTGCGTAGATGTTTATTGAATTCTCGGTTCAGTGATATTTAAGAGTTGTGCAATTACATAATCCAACTTTTACCCAATTGTAAATTATATATACTTTATCTAAATTCCTAGTAGCTTAAAAAGAATTGTTCAACTCAATATTGTTGAATAAGTAAATCTTGATATGTATATGTATGATGATGCGTAACACAAACAAGATCGAGTTTGATTGACAATAATCTAAGTTTGATTTTGATTTTCTATAAAATCACATTAATAATTAAATATTTTTAATTAATAAATAATAATTAACTGTGTATTACTCTATTACTCTGTATATTATCTGTATTATCTGTACTTTTATATTCACCGATCTTGGATCGATGTGATCGATATCTGTAGGGACCTAGTAGGATTAATGTCGGAATAACTTACATAATACCCTCCCCTGAATATTTCCTGAATAATGGTCGGCAATCAATTCTCCCGGAAAATTTCCTGTCATGACTAGCTAACTTGTCGGGAAAATTGTGTGTTACCAAATTTATAAATGTTGTAACGGTATTATATACACGTATTTAAATATTTTAAGATATAAATAAAGCGTGATAAAGCTTTATTAGGTAAGGGCTAAATTAGAGTTAGATCCATTTTTTTATCCAGATTACAAAAAATTTTCTTTAAATTTCTTGAAAACTCTGAAGATACGTATTTATGACATATACTCGTATTTTTTATTTTTTTGCTAATACTGTAATAGCTTTTTATTTTTATTTTGATTCTGTACTGCATATTTTATTACATTTTATTACATTTTATTACAGCTTAAAGTTCTTTGTTTTTTTTTCCAGGAAAAAAGACCACAAAGTTTATTTTTTGGCTTTTACGTAGTATAACCCGGCTGGGTTAATTTTTACGTCTTATAATTTTTTTTAGAAAGTAAAATTATGCAGTATACTTATTTGTATAAATTAAAAATTCGAGCCCGGGTTTTTGGTTATTTTAAAAAAGTTTATAGTTTTCTAGGCATCGCATAGATGCGATACTTTATTTATCACATGTTGAAATATTAGTGATTAGTTGGTAAAGATTTTTATTAATTATAATTAAAATAATAGAAATTATCGATTATATGATTGATTTAATTTAATGGTTTTAAATTTTGCTTTCGATTGATTTTTTTACATTTTATTATTAATAATTATTATATAATTAATTATTATCAATTTTTTTTTATAGTATACAGTATAATATTACTAATTTTTTTTTTTTTAATTTGGCAGTCTTGCCAATACTGTTTATTAGATTTATGCTAATGTATTTTTGGTTACAAATATCACAAGTATAATTACAACTATCTAAAGTATATACAGTATTAGCTTACCCAGTTACTAATTTAAAAACCTATATGCAACCTGCTATAAGATTTTACCTTCTTATCAATCGTCCTACACCAGGCTGATTTTAAACTTACTGGATAGTTCCAAAACCTATTTTATTATATATATTCTACTTATATACTACTATACAATATCCATCAACTAACTTCCACTTCTCATTACTAATCACATTATTTCTAATTCAATTTTTGTATTACTTTCAAATTGGTGTCTTTCAAGTAGACACTCTTTATTAATGTCTCTAGAGGAGTTACTTTAAGAGCCTAACTATATCTCAAACAGTTGCCTGTGCCAAATTAGAATATTATTTCATATCAATCTAGGTATTTGCATTATACATCACCAAATTAAGCTACTACTCCTTTTATAATACTTCCTATTAGTATGGTGTTATAGAAGTCTAGATTCTTAAAACAGAAGTTATGTACCTCATTTAATCACTGTTACAAGCTAGTAACTTGGAACCCATATTTTTGTCATATTTTGTTATTAATTTTCATATAGGTTGTGCGATATATTACTTCCTGGCTATCTTTATTTTTGTATTACTTAGGGGATAGTTAATTAACAGAGGATGCAACTTAACATTATACAAATATATTTAATTAGTTCCAAAATTGTTACACAATATAAGTTCATAAAATTTATATAAAAAATTTTTTTAAAACTATACTAACTAATGCCTAATAAGACTCATTAGTTATAAATCCAAGATTTTTTATTTGGATATCATTTTCGTGACCTCTGGTAAAATTTCGTAAGGCTTGAAAGTGTATTTAAACTTATGAAGGCCAAATACCATATCGGCAGATTTTTGGAATTTACTATTAAAAATTCCAAAATATTCAACAGTGAATAACTTTTAATCCACTGATCCATTTTTAACAAAACAATTACCAAAAGTTTCGTCTCAGTGAGATGATTCTAATGGATACAAAATTGCCAAAATCTAACCACAGGATTCCAATATCTTTGATAATTTGTTTCACTTCGGGTATTTTAGAATTGGTTTAACCAATTCTAAAATATCTGAAGTAAAGCAAATCTCTACCGATCTCGGGGTTCTGTGATTGGATTTTGACGATTTTGTGTCCATTAGAATCGTTTTAACAAAACGAACATTTTGGTAATTGTTTTATTGAAAACGGACTAGTGGATCAAATTTTATTCACTGTTAAATATTTTTGGAATTTTTAATAGTAAATTTCAAAAATCTGCCAATATGCTACTTTTAAAGAGAAATTGCGAAAGCTTTAAGTAATTTATTTCATTAGAGTAACAGTTTTGGCTTGAATAAATTCTAAGAATATTGAATTTATTTAGGCCTAAGAGCATTGTTATTAGGCTGATAGTTTTAGCTTGTCTAATATTAATAACTCTAAACTATATACCAACCTTTTGTTCTTGTAGATCTACTAAAAATTTTAATTGAACTTGTAATGCCAACTCTGATTACTTTATTTCATGATATTTGAAGTTATACCAGTCATACCTGGATTTGCAAATGCCAAATAATACTCTTAAAAAAGTATTATAGAGTTTTTAGATAATTTATTTCTTTAATGTTTGTAGCTTAAATCTTGAATAAATCTTAAATATTCTGGATTTATTTAAATCTAAAGCTAAAAGTATTGTTATTGGTATGATAGTTTTGACATAATAACACTGAATTAATAACAACTTTTTACTATTGTAGATCTGTTCGAAGCCAATATTAAGTATATAATTTATTATAAATTCTATATAATATCATATACAGTTGAACCTCTATAATTGCACTCCCTCGGGACTATAGGGCAAATTTTTAAAAAAGTTCATTTAGAGAAGGCATACATTTATAGAGGGCATTTTTACTATGTTTCTATATATTTGGGACCATGTCAGGGCGTCTATTTAAGAAGAATTTACATATAGGTGCAATTATAGAGGGTGCAATTATGAAGATTCAACTGTAGCAATTATTTTGTACAAAATATATATAAAAAAAAAACCGTCTTTGGATTTTTTAAATATTAATAAAGAACAAAATCTTTAAGTGGATTTTTTGATAATAAATGAAAGTCTTAATGAAATTCAATTTATTCATTTATCATAATAAAAACCAACAAAGGTGTGGCGACTTAGTGAAGTGGTCTAGTTGTCACCCTCACCAAACGTTATGGGAAGATCCCATGTTCGAATCCCA